GCTATGTCGAAGTCATTTAAAAAAATGCTTAAATTTTGAACAAGAGTATAATGAAGAAGAAAGAAAAGAAATTCTTTTACGTAGTGTACCAGAAGATAAAAAAAAAAATTCTCAACAAAAAAATGTTGATGAAACTTTTGACTCTGAAAATGAAGATAATAACTCTATAATAAATTTCACAAATAACCCCTCTACTTCTACTGCAATTAAACAAACAACTCTTAATCATTTTATATCACGTCCCTTATCAAACAAAGATATTTCACATTTTGAAAATTTGGTATTGCTTATAATCGTTTCAAATGGTCTTCCCTTTACATTTTTAGAAAATAAAGAAACACAAGATGTTTTTAAATTTATTGCACCAGCATTAAAACTTCCTGGACGAAAAGCTATAAGTGATAGAATACTTCCAGATTCAGCAAGTCAATTAAAAAAATCAATTTTAGAGGTTGCATCTAATGATAAAATTGGAGTAACAGCAGCCTTTGACGGGTGGACCAATATTAAACAAGAACATCTTTTTGGAGTAATTTTCATTACTTCTAAAGGTGAAACTTTAATTTGGGGGGCGCATGATATTAGTGATCAACGATCAAGAACTGAAGATGCAAAACTTCTTATTAAGGATATAATGGATGATGCTGAAAAAAATGGAATTCAAGTTAATTGTTATGTATCTGATTCTGCTGGCGAATATGCTGCTGCAAGGTAAATATTATGAATATAAATTATGCAAGTTTACTTAAAATTAAGTTATTAAAAAATAATTTTGTTTAGACGACAATTAAGAGTAGAATATCCTAGTAAAGTTTTTATACCCTGTATGGCTCATCAAATGAATTTGGTAGTCGGAGATATCTTTAAAGAATCTGAGTCCTATAAAGTAGTATCAAAAAATGCAGTACGCATTGTTAGTTACTTTCATTCTTCACCATATTTTACAGGTTTATTGAGAAATGAGCAAAAATCAATTTATAATCAAACAATTTCACTCATTACTCCTGGAGAAACACGTTGGAATAGCTTTTACTTTTGTTTTAACTCTGTATTAAAAACAGAAGCTGCTCTTAAAGTAATTATTATTTTTAATTTAATTTTTTAATTTTAAAATATTTTCTAACATATTTTTCTTTATTCTTAGACATTAGTTACAAAGTTTTCTCCAGAAAGAGTTGGAACAGTTAGTAATTCAAGAAGTGGATTTTCATGACAACGTTTTTCATCAGGAAATAATAATACCAATAAAATAATTTTTCCAGATGTTATAGCGATAGTAAATGATTCTAATTTTTGGTCACAACTCTATGAATTGCAAAATTTATTATTGCCGTTATGTGGAGTGTTGAATAATTTGCAAAAAGATATTGCACGCTTACATGAAATACTTCATTGTTTTGGCTGGATTACTAAAATTTTTGCAAATCATGAAAATCAATCCTTTTCTAATCAGATGATAGCAAGATTAAAAACCCGATGGGCACAGTGGGAACAACCTCTTCTTTTATTATCATTTGTTTTACACCCAAAATACCGTCTTTCAAAATTTACTTCTAATATTTCAAATCTTTCTTATACATATTTTGGGCAATGGTTAGGTTACTATTATCAAGTATGGTTTGGTGAAATACCAAAAAGCATTTTACGTGAATATTTAACTTATCAAAGAGAAATATTTCCCTTTGATAGTAGTACTTATAATCAATTCAATGAAAATATTGTTGATTTTTGGGAATCAGCTAAGGGTCTAGCACCAGAACTTTCTCAATTGGCTTTACACTTATTTGGTATATGTGTTAACTCAGCTTCAGTAGAGCGCCTTTGGTCAAGCATGGGATTTTTGCACACAAAACGTCGGAATCGACTTCATGTAAATAATTAAATTTAATTGATATTACATTTATTACTTTCATATTTTAATTACTAATTATTTATACTTTAAGCATCAAAAGGTATTGGCCATGAGTCAGTTGCGAAGTGATATATTGAAAAAGTGAAAACGGGAAGAAATTGACAATACTGAGAAACAATATAAACGAATTCACATTGCTGCTCCAGTACAGCCATATAATGATGAAGAGGAGGTTGATAAAGAAGCTGAAGAGGAAACTGAAACTCAAATTAATATAAGTGATTGTGAGAAAGAAGCAGATACAGAAATTTCCATTGAAGATAATAATACTAGTGAGATTTTAAGTGCAGATCATTGGTTATGGATGGTAGAAAATTGGGTTAAAATGTTAGATATCGAAAATCATTTAGATAATGGTGAAAATGTTAATGAGGAACCAATTGAATTTGAATTGGGTGGTCGTGATATTCATCCAGCAGATGACCCATTAGCAAAATGGGATTTACTATTTTTATTTAACGATTCATTGGAAGCTCCTGTTTATCTTAGTTCTTTAACAAATTTCTAATTTTTCTAGTGCAGCTAATGATTTTGATAGACATGAGTTAGAGGGATTGTGAAAATGTTTATTTACGATGTATAGTTGCATTTATTAATGAATAAAGGAGCTTTAATTTTCGCATAGTATTAAAATTCAAATGCAGACTTGTAGATTGATTTAAATGATTGCTTTAGGTAAAAAAAAATGATTTGCATTCGTTCAAAGTTTAAAAAAAATAGTTTTTTTTCTTTTATTTTAAATAAAATTTTTTTCAGACTCAATTATTTTGACATTTTCCTTATAAAATATTAAATATTGTTACAAATAAAGCTTTAATGATTTGATTTATTAGAAAAGGATCTTTTTTTTAAAAAAAAAAATTTAATTAACCAGATAATTTAACAGAATTTGTATATTCCTTCAAACCAAATGTCACAAAATTAGATTGAGTAATAACAAATCAGACATTTGCCAATTATAATATAACATTGATTGTATGATAATTAGATAAATATATAAATGACCAGGTCACGAGTCATTTGACTTTTAAAATGACCCAATGACCAGTGACCAGTCATCAAAGTCATTTGGGTCATCATAGGTCACTTGCCATCACTGACGTTGATTATTAGAAGCATATCGATTTCGAAACATTTTTAAAAACATGACACGACACGCAAAATTTTATTGAAAAAAGTATACAAGAAAAACAATTCAAGAAAAAGGATTCGAATAAAGGTCAAAGAGAAAGTTTGTTAAAATATCACTTAAAAATAAAATCAATCACTTAAAGATAATCAATTAAAAATATCACTTAAATTTATTTTATAGCTAGAACATTTTCGATATATTAATTTATACTCATTTTTCCTAGTATTTAAGAAATTTAAAAAATATTTAAAAAATATTCAAAAAATTAAAGTATATTACAATTATGAATTTAATAATATACATTTTATAAAATTCGTTCTATAATCTATATAATTGCTTATCTATCGCTCAGAGGCCAGAGTAAACTATTGTGTATATTTCTATTTATGGAATTAGACTCATTATTATAAAAGTCTAATTTGTATTCGCATTTTTATAAAAGTCTAATTTACTATTGTTTCATTAGGCCGTTCCAACTTGATTATTTGTTTAACGTCCACCACCCCCCTCTATTTTTTTAAAAATTTGAGATCTAATAAACACATATTATTAAATACCCCCTCTATTTTTGAAAAAATTTAAAAGCTAATAAACATATAATGATAAATAATCCCTTCTGAAATTTTCAAATTTTCCTATGTTTATTTATTTAGTTTGTTTAACTTAAGCCCCCCTTTCCCCTTAATTTTTTCAAAAGGCCTGGACGTTAAACAAACAATTAAGTTGCAACAGCCTTATCTATAAGTCTAAATAATTAAACTATTTGTTATTGTTCTAATTTATCGATTTGATTGTAATGCCAGAATTTATCTAATGAATTTATTAAATGTGGGCGAAGTATTATAATTAGTTTAGATAATAAGAAATTTTTATTTGATTATGAAATGACGTCCTGGCATATAACATTAAACTGTACCATATAATCTGATTTATTAAATTATAGTTCTTGTAATATTTATTTTATTTTATTTATTTATTATTATCAGAACTACGGAATGATGTACATTATGACAATGACATCGGAATTAAAAAATTTAAAAGAAAGGATAATTTCTGTAGAGGAACGGATTTGAGATAATGAAAAAGGAAATTAATTGTAACAAGATGAAAGTGACTCGGCCCAAAATAACTAAATTGAGTAAAAAGGGCATCGTTTGGATCGAGTAACTTAAAAGTTATAAAAGGAGTTAATAAAATTGGGCGTAGTATTTCAGAAGCATATGGGGAAAATTTTGATAATAATAGTAAGAATTATTTTATTAAGGATTTATTTGTTCCGATATTATTTTATTAATGGATTAATAAGAATGAAATGCGAAGTATTATTTTATTAAGGGAAACTATCGAAGTTGATTTTAGGATTAATAATTGGAAGATTTTATTAATGAAAAAGGAAGATTTGAAATTTTGAATATAGAAGTATATTTTTATTATTAGAATTATGATGTTTTATATTTATTTTGTATATTATTTTGTCTAACTAAGCGTGAACTCGGGATATATTAATAATTTAATATTGTATATTTTATTATTAAGAATTTTGTGTGGCGTGAATAAAATCTATGATGATCTATGCCTGAGCTGGGTCTGGATCACGTTGCGACTAATTATTTAAAAGAAGATCAGAGAAAAAAAAATTAATTAAATTTCAACGATATGTTAAATATATAAATATTACACCATATTATCAAAAACCAAAATAAATATTATCAATAGGTGTTATATTATTATTTACTGCCAATTATAGCTTATAGGAGTAGTCTGATTATTAATAGTCTATAAAAGTCTAGTCTATAAAAGTCTAATTATTAAAATTTCTACTTCGCCATAGCAAAACAATCAAACAATCACAATAAAGTTTAATTGTTTTATTATTTAGAGAAACAATTTCTTTTTTTTTTATAAACCCTTTCTCTTTCTCTGTTATTATTTTTCTCTAGTCTTCTTATCATTATCATGCCTCCCAGAAGAAGTACTACCCGAAGTCAAAAGAAAAAACAAATTATTCCTGTTGACGAAGATGATGTTGTCAGAACTTCAAGTAATTCTCGTATCCTATAATAAACTGAAATTGTATCAGATTTTTAACTTTCTCTTTAGTTCTGAAAGAAAATCAAGGACCGGAAGCGATTCAAACCTAAAAACCCCCTGCTAAAAGATGAGGTCGAAAGAAAAAGGATCCTGTTATTGAAGATAATGAACATATACACGATAATGGTCAACAAACCATGGACTCAGCTTCAAAGGCCAATAAACATCAAACTGCCACACCAGTTCCGAAGACCACTGTTAAACGTAGGCGTAAGGAGGCCATCACTAATGATGATACAATTCAAGAACCAACTTTGATTAATAAACTTCTAGAATTAAGCGATGATGATGATGATCTTTCAGAAGGTTGCTTTCACTTTATAATCATCATATTTTGACGTAATATCACTCAGATTATATATTCTTACCTTCCTCGCTTTATTTCTTTAGATGAAAGTCAGTTCAATGAAAGTGCCATAAATATCGGACGTGAACCTCTTGCACCGATTACAAATATCAACGATAAAATTCATAACGGCATACCGGATGAAAAGACTGAATCTTACGTGAACGTTAATAAGATTTGTAGTGATGGTTCAAATGAGACATCTGAATCTTATTTTCGTTTAAGTTTGAATACTACACCTTGTTCTAATCGCCCTAATAACACATATTCCTCTTCTCGTACACGTAATATCGATAATGATGACGTTTTTCGTTCGAATACACCTCATTCAAATACACCTAATTAGAATACATCTCGTTCAAATACTTCTTTTTTTGCTAATGGTAACAAGATTCGTTCGACTCTTCGGAAATCAAATAATCCAGAATCCGCACCTCCAGAACCATTTCGCGATATGGTGAACGTTCACCAAATCTGTTCGTGGTTATGTGTAAACTCGGACATATTATTACTTGCTTATAATATGTATCTATCTATGCAAACGCCAGCTGCCAACACATTCAACATTATTTCACCCAACTTTAATTCATCAACGTTGGCATCTGGTGTACCACAAATGCCAAAGCAAGAAGACAGGGTAAATATAACTGATATAATTTGTCATTAATTTACTATGTTAATATCTGCTAAATTATTTGCATAATTCAGGTGATAGCAAATCGAGATTTTCTCGAAGAATTGAAATGTTTGTTTCTTAGGGTTCAAAACCCTAAGAAGAGCGTTTTCAAGGATTTGGTACAGCAAATATTTAATTGCGATCTAAATTCGTCAGAAGGAATCGATTGGCTGCGTGCGGCGAATAGAAATTTTAGTGATTTCAGAAATAAATTCCTGGATAGTGTTGAGGAAGCGATTGAGATATTCAAAGAAAAAAGAGCTCAGTAAGCAGATCATTTCGTTTTAATTTTTTGTTTTATTTGTTTTGCGGTATATTGATTATTTTTACGTTGATTTATAGAGAAAATAAAGATACTACAGTTCGCTTTTTAGATGAATATGAAATAATTTTGTTTGTCAATGAAAATTTAACATTAGACATCTTGCAAAGATGGTTACTAAGTGCGACGAACATGACTAAATTGAGAGATCAAAACTCCTTACGGGTTTTACAAAGATTCGTCCGAGAATCATTAATTGTAAACTATGATTCAAGAGACACTGATGCAACGAAATCTTTAGATAAAATAACAAAAAAAATAGCAGTGCCGTCTCGAAATGGTAAAAATATTGCCAGCAACTTGGAGTTGTGAATTTATTAGTAATAATAACTGAAGAAAATTCGTGCGAATTTTTTTTGGGTTTCTTTTTTTTAAATTATGATTACAATGATAATATAATAATATTTGTAATATAAAACCCTTTTATTATTATAATTGGCAATTTATTATAATAGTTATTTTTTATAAGGTATATTTTACTATAATTAAACTAATAAAACTTTAAAATTTTACGATAATCTTAAAATCGCCTATTTATCATTAATTTGTTGTTAATGCATTGAAAAAAAATCGAAGAAATATCTTAAACTAGATTTTTTGGCTATTTTTTCGATTTCTTCACTACTTTTTAAAGATTAATACTGAATCTTGTTACGATTTCGAAAATATTTTTATTCGATTTTATAACGAAATCGTAACAAAACTTATCGTCACGTGATCGATCCAAAATTGATGTGGAATGTTGGCGATCACTTAACCGCATAGTAACAAATCACGGGTTTCTGCAATGAAATAACTTACATGCTTTATTATTAAATAATTGTTTAAATAAAGAATTTAGTTAATTCAAATTATATGCAATTATTACATAGTAGAATCAAATAAAGAATCAAATAAAAAACTAACACATTATATTATTAAATAATTTATTAAATAATGAATTTAATTAGTTCAAATTTAATAATATATAAATATGTACTAACAGCTAATAATAGAATTAAATAAATAATTTACCAACTATTATTATTAAAATAAAGAATTTAAGTTAGTTTAAATTATATTATATAAATATGTAATAATAGAATTAAATAAATAACTTACCATCTAATATAAATTAACAAATAATTTTTAAATAAAGAATTAATTAGTTTAAATTATATGTAAATATTATATAATAATAGAATTACTTA